TGGAGAGAGAAAGCTTCAAGGTGCAGACACAGAGTTTTCCATAAGAATAAGTGGAATAAATTTAAACAATTCTGTCAGATCAAGTATTGCATCTTCCATAATAAATCCCAACCCATCTACAACGCTAAAAAGTGAGGTATAAAATAGGCATGGAAGGTGTGAAAGTCTTAAGATGTATAGATGGGTCAGAGTATGTCAAACATTTGTACAAACTTGAATGCTTTAATGATCTTTCTAAATGTATTTGGTACGTAAAAACAGAATAAGAACAGCTTCAAAATTACTGGCTACTGACAGTTACAAAGTAATTTCTTTAAACATCTTTACAGTTTAAACAACTTTTGATAAAATTTCAGCAACTTTTAAACAGCTTGAAAACATCAATCAAGGCTCACATTCTGAGGTTGCGACAAACAAATGTAACAACCAAGTAAAACAATCAAGTTTTAGTATAAAATATTATATATATTGAAGGGATAGTTAAAAGTTTTACAAAGTGAAACCGTGCGCCTAGTCAGTGTAGTCAAAATGTATGCGATATCTGAAATATTTTCAGCTCTTCACCTTCTCATCGGTCTTATGTTTTGACATTAAATGAAGACCAACATTGTGCAACAGACACAGGTGTGTTTTGAGATGAACAGAAATATAATGCCCAGAGTAAAACGGTTAATAACAAAAAATTGCCACAAGGTCAAGCATTACAAAATTGGTAATATGGTGAACAGTTAACATGACGTCTTCATGTTAGGTGGGGCTATTTAATTGACTAAAAGTATATTTTGTTGATGACCCTCTGCACAAAATAGATAGAACGTGCTACAGCATTAACAAAAGGAAAACATAGTTTACAAGGAGCTGTCATCATCCTTCATGTTAATGGTTACATTACTACATACACCCAATCCGTTACCCACACTGAGCTTGTGAGAATGTGTGCAGAAAATCTTTGGTTTCCATGAACTCAATTAGTATGGCTTTATCCAAGACATCAGATCCTGTACAGGAAAAACTGAACCCTGAAACAACTACCCTTTCAAGTGATGATAAAACTGTTGACTGGGCTGCTGTCAACACCTCTGGAAAGATAAGAAGTTCCTTCACTGTTGTTGCAGTTGTTGTTTTTTTTGTTTTGTTTTGTTTTTTTGCAATGAATTGATGCAGTCATTCTGGTGGTAACTACAGAAAGCATAATAGGACACCAGCACTCAATTACATACATTGGGACCTGAATTAATACTTGGTAGGGACTTTCTTGCATTCATGTGCATCAAGTACATCTAGCAATTCAGCTTCGCTCACAGAATCAAAGTCCTCCAAAGCTTTCAGGAGAACAGCTCTTTCCTCATGTGATACGTAGAGCCAAAGGGAGTTCTTTAAACTACTGAATGCTGAGATGTACAGCACCTCATCCTGGAAAGGTATTGCAAGTTTCCCTGTAAAGTAACCTGCCTCTTTCCATCCTGCAACAGCCTGCCATTCCTCCTGCTGAAAGTTATGCCTTATGAACGGAACTTTCATTTCCACTCCCAGTGTGCAGCTATTATATAAACATAGACTCAGAAAGTCTCTCAAAACATCACCTCCTTCCGCCTTTTTTTTTTAGTCTCTCCATTTTGTAAATGTATTTTGATGTAAACCTAAAATGCCATAATTTTTGGGTCCTTGAAGGCATTGATGAAGTCAATGAGACAGTGAACTCGTCTTACAACCAGTGTTACAGGAGCAGACTGGGGTTCAGGAAGTGCATGGGAAATATATGCCTCCGCTGCAAGCATTGGAACAGGGTGTGACTGCTATACAATTCGAAAAAGTCCATCCTCTATTTAAGGAGTGATTATTTACAGATTAGCTTCATCTTCAGTTACCTTCAGCCTGTCCTTACCCAACAAAATAACAACAGTATCAGAATCTTTGTTTTCACCCAGGGTTAACAGGCAATCTCATGGTAATGCGTCATTCAATCCCCAATCTCTACTTGTGGAAGCTCCACCATTTATCACATTGTGTCTGGTTAATTTTGCATTTCGGTGTTCCACCAACATATCCTCAGCAGCCTGATTTTGTTCATTGTCACTGAGATGTACCACTGAGGACCGGCCTGTTGCAGGCTGTTGTTCTGCTTTTTGGTTCTGTTTGTTTTTTTGTGGTGCATAGATAAAGTCTAAGCATTTTGACTTTGCTTTCACTATACAGCTTATCTACTGTAGTTACATCTTGATATGTATCTGTGAGCTTTCAATATGAGTTGAATAGTGTGAAGGACTTTTGGTATTTTTGGAACCACCTTTCGGGGGGAAAAAAAACATTTTCAGACAAAACTATGGTATCTGCCACAGTATCTTATTTATCAATTGTTCCTTTACCATTTACAGAATTCACTTGTTTGTATCTTTCCTCATCAAAATCCATCCAACCAACCTCAATTTGTCTCTTTTTACCTTTGGCATTTGTATTCCGTGCCCACTTAGAATATCTTTTTTTAAGTATTCCCTCAGTTCCAGACAGTCTTTGTTTTAGCCTTAAAAGTCTGGATTCTTTCCTGGATGTAGATGTTTTAGATAGTGTGGCTTGTCTGCAGAAGGCCTCCGTGGAGACTCTCTCTCCAACTTTGGGGATGTACTTTGTCAGGTCACCGTCTGTCATTAATGAAAGGACAGTTTCATCAATCTGAAAAATAAAAGATACTCCAGTCAGTGAATAAATTAATTCATGTACCTGTTGGAGCTATATTTAAGCATATTTAGTTGCTTTAACACTGTTGTTTCATATCCTGCTGTTTCATATCCTGCTGACATGAAACAACAGTGTTAAAATAATTAAATTAACTTTTATAAATCCTACAAATGCAAATACTTTTCCAAATTAAGATTACTAAAAATCATTTTGATTTTATGGGTTAATGTATAAAATGCATTTTTATTTAATGTTCTGGTGTGACCATGTTGTAAACAAATGTCCAATGAATAATAATCTTATGAGCGCATACACACACACACACACACACACACACACACACACACACACACACACACACACACACACACACACACAGCATTTAAAGGCATTACTTACATTTTCATGTTCAAGTTTCTGTACTGCATCTTGCAGTTGGAGCTCCATCAGAAATTCTTGCAGCTCAGTATCCACAGAAAAACACAGAACACAGAAAGCAACATTAATAGTTTCACAGCCTTAAAAAGTAACAGACTTTCCAGGTTCTCAATCTGAATCCAAATAACACTAAACCATCTTCTTGATTTTATTATTATTATATTTTATAAAGCACTCACTGTTACTGCAAATGTAGTATCATATTTCGTGTGATCGAATTAGTATTTTATGCGCATGCTGAATCTCTTTTCTCTCTCATGGTATTTCAGGGGTTCCATAATTTTGTAATTCAGATATCTAAAAATATAATTTTGTCAAGTCAGAATTACGTTTGAGATATCTTGATTGTAATTCCGGATGTGTGACACTTTAAATAAATAATCAGGCAAAGTAAATGAGATATCTCAAAATGCATTTTGACTCTCCAAAATGTAATTGAAGATATCTTGAATTGTTATTTTTACTAGTCATAATATAATTTCACATATTTAGTTTTTCCTAATCAAACTTTTTCTTTGATATCTTAAAAGTAATTACAGGTAGTCAGAAGAAGTTGATTTTATGATAATACGGCTTGCCGTTGAGGACTTTGTGTCGCAGATATCTAATCATGATAATTCAAGACATCTGAAGTACAAAGTCCAGATATCTTGAATCATCATTCTGACTCGTCGAAATGACATAGCAATTTGGGGGAAAGGTTAAGACGCCTTTATGGTGTTTGCTAGTTAGCGGTCTGCAAAGATATATTCAACGTGAACGACCTTTAGTGCTGTAGCTTATGTTGGAACTGGTTCAGAATTACAGAAAATCTGCATTTCACCTTGGGATTGTGTTGACAATAGCATATTTGGCTAGCTTTAAACTGTATATAGGATATTCAAGCACAGCTATGTCATTTTTATTCCATTTTAAGCCTTTTCATAATTTTTAGGATTTTTAATCATTCCAAATTTAGCACTATTCCTGTTTATCTTTCAGGTAATGTCTCCTGAAAGGTTTATGTTTTTGTTTATTTTATACAACAAATAAAAGTTGACACTATTAAATTGATTTGAAATGTGTGCTGGAAATGAAAAGAATGAAAAAATAAAAGACACTTATTAGAAAAGATTACATAATATATCCCACATATAAACCTTGTTCTGTGTTTTACACTACATATCAGAGTGATGTTGATGTCAATTATTTGATCAACTTAAGCACAAAATATTGATATCGTAAATCCTCTTAAGATATTTTAGATTATCATTCAAGATATTCAGAATTTATTTTTCCTAGTCAACTTTTTCTTTGATATCTTAAAATTAATTACTGATACTCAGAAAAAGTTGGTTTTAGTAGTAACCTAATTTTGTGTTTAGCAAAATTCTTCATTCATAAACAAAGAGTGTTGAGATCATCCCCAATCTTTAAAGTTTTCTTATCTGAATTCAAGTTATATTTGAAATCTCTAAAATATATTGAATCATATGAATACCTGACTGAAATACTGATGGGTTTGTCCACCAATGTTCATCAGTCCTAACATGAATCCCATTTTTGCCATGTTAATAATTATTTTATTATTACAGTAATTCCTTTTATTTTTATTTTTTCTTCCTTATCAATAATGCCTCGTAACCCACATTTTTTTTTTTATCTGCCTCTACTATGCCTTCCACAGATTTGTGCTGTTGCTATTGCCTTACTTGTTTGTACTTACTTCTTTTTAATAAAGTTCAAAACAAAATACAAAAATGAAGTTGGTTTTATGATAAAAGGGCTTGCCACACCCCTATTGAAGCGAGCAATTCAAGAGTTCAACCAATCGACTGTCTCTAAAAATGACTATGCCGCATCTGATTGGTTAGAACGCCTGTCTGTTTAGGATAAGTTCCCTGTCACAGCTGCGTTTTGGTTTTTAATTCACGAGCGCTCTGTTGGAAGCTGTAGAAGAAGAGGCGTCAGTTTGTCAAGTTTTTCGGGTTTTCCTGAAAGTTTTTCGGGTTTTACTGATCATTTAATCTCATCTGCCGACGGTGTGGAAGTAATATGCAAGCTATGAGGTGAGAGGAAGTATTCCTAATCCTTATTAGAGCATGTCTTTTAGTGTTTTAGTCTTAGTTGCTAAATGTTAGCGAGTTAATTTACACTAAACTTAAGGCTTAGGTTTGTAAGCTAAGTGCTACTAGCGTTTATTTTACATCATGTAAGCTCGAGTGCTAACTGTCATAGTTTAGTTTAGAGTCCGTTTTGTAATGGCTCACGCCCATTTGGTTGATTGAGATTTCTTAACCTCCTCAGAAACCTTTTCCGGGCTCCCTGGTCCTCTGACGTGAGGCTCGATGGTCAAACTGCGGTGATTACAGGCGCCAACTCCGGCATCGGCAAAGAGACAGCCATCGACCTGGCCAAGAGGGGTAACCGCTTCATCTAACTTTGTTTACCCCTTATTTTAAATATCATATTAAAATGGTTAAATTACAGCCACTCCCTGATTTGAAGGAAGGCCAACAGGGCCATCATCTAATACATAAATGTGCACATGTCATTATATAAATAAATGTAGGTTTTTGCTGTATTCAACTTGGCAAGACAAGACTGCTTTAATCAGAATCAGAAATACTTTAATAATCCCAGAGGGAGATTACTTTTGTCACACGCTCCAGTTACACTTTTACATGATATATACACACATCCAACTATACAATATAATAAAGATAAAAAATAAGTATAAAAAGAGATAAAATATATACACATATAGCTCTTCTGTATATATATCTGTACGTATATCTATGCTATATCTATATCTAATAAAGTATCAATACCTTTATCAGTCTGTCATCTAAATTACCCCCATCTAATAAGTTCAATAAAGTAATTCAACCTTGTTTAAATTGCAATAAAATATGGGAAACGATTGCCTCTATGGAGGACCAGGAGAGTCACTGAAAAAGGGAAAAACAGCCAAATTCAGTATTTAAATCCTACAAAAATCCAACTTGAAAAGCATTTTCTTATTGCACATTTTAAATGAGGTGTAATTATATTTATTTATCCATTATTAAATACTGGTATTTGACTGTGTTTTCGAATGATTTTCCTAAATGGTGATTTAAAATCTGACTTGAAATGCCTTTCCTAATCACACATTTAAAAATGTAAATGTTTCATTTTATGTGTCATCTTGCGTTTTTAATGAGAGCTGGTTACATGTCGGGAGAAACTGTGATTGGTTTAAATGTTCTGGTTGGCACAGGGACAAAAAAGGTAAAGGTCATGGAACAGGAGAGAGAGTAAAAAGGAAACTCGACTGCAAATGGATTTGACAATGGGGATAAGGAATAGGGCTGGGTTAGGGTTAATTGCATTTGCAATATAATCACAATTTACCAAAGTGCAATTTTATTTTTTATATACAGAGGAACATGTTTTTTTTTGCTAGTTGCAGCTAGCAGCAGATCCATGCAAGTAGACGTTAACACTTTGTCACACAAATATAGTTAAGTCCTGCAACAATGGATTCTGGGCAAGCAAGCTCTCACAAATTGAATGCTTGGAGTGAAACGTCTACAAATTTGGGGTTGGTGCAAAGGAAAATTGAAATAAAATCGCAATTGTGGTTCAATATAATCACTATTTTGATCTTTGGGTAAAATTGTTTAGCCCTAATAAAGAATTACCTTTTTAAGTGTTATTAGGAAAGGCATACCAATTCAGAAATGGGAATTGCTGTATTTAATAGTGCATTGATACATAGAAATTACAATTCCTCTTGGATAATTCAGTTAAAATGTACAATTGGAAAACATTTTTCGAATTGGATTTATGATTATGTGATTGTGTTGGGTTTTAACTTTTTCAGTGACTCTCCCAGTTCTCCATTGAATCCAGGTGTCAATAAGAAAAACCAAACCTGGGCAGCCAAGTTTTAAGCAGTCCACATGTTTTATATAATATTTGGAACCATTAACTTTTTTATTTTATTTTTTATCTTGATTAATTCAAGCAAGGTGATTGGAAAAAAGAAAACTTAGCTTGGAACTAAACCCAGTCTATCAGAAAAGAAATAAAAGAAGCACTGTTGTACCTTAGTGTGGTTTCACACATGGACACGGTTACTTACTGTTTCTGTTGATGAATATAATCAGCTGCCTTGATTTAGCTCAGCTGTGACGCCAGAGAGGAAGTGGCATCAAAAATGTCTGAGGAATGATGTTTCAAGATGAAAGGAACACTTGTTTGTTGACATTTGGGCAGTGTTGAATAACCTAAGCTTAAGAAGTCATCTGTGTGCTTTTCAGAGCTGAAGTTGTTTAACGAGCTGCAGATAACCACCAAGCTAAGATTATGTCATCCTTATCTGTGCATTTCTGACATTTCACACAAGCTTATGCATCTGTTGTGTGCTTTACATAAGTAGACTGACTTAGTTATGACTTATCAGTGTCTTAAAAAGGTAATAATTGATCTTTATTGATCTCTCATTGGAGAAATGTACCTCTTCATTTAACCTATCCCCTTGGGGAGCAGTGGGCTGCCATTGTGGGGCGCCCGTGGAGCAATCGGAGGTTAGGGGTCTTGCACAGACACCCAGAGTGGCAGTCTGTGGCAGTGGGGCTCGAACTCAGAACCTCAGGATTCCAAGCTCTATGCCCTAACCACGAGGCCACCCCTCCCCTTAAGAGCTGTTTTTTTTCTGTTAGGTGTGAAACGGTCTTCAAGAAGCTGTAATAAATTGCAAGAAAATATTCCCCCTTAGGGACTAGAAAAAACAAGTCTTATGAAGTTCTGTTTTTCTCAGAGTTGGTTTGTTCATACTTGTGATCTTTCAGTTATTTGGGTTAGGGTTATTCACGCAGCAGTCTCAGCAGAAATGCTCAAACTTTCCTCACCTGAGGTGCTTTGGACCAGCTGAGAGAAGAGTTGTACTCGCATGGAACTTTCTATTTAAAAAAAAAAAAATTTAAACCATTAAGTTTTAAAAACAAAACCAGTTTTGTTTTGTTTGTTTTTATTTCACCCTGAGAGAGTTTACATCCTTGGCATCATTTACTGCACCTCATTTCCACTCTAGCAGGCATGGAAGTAGTGATGTTTTACTTTTATGGGCAGAGGAATGATCAGATTTCATACTCGTATATCCATCCACAAGTTATTTGAATTATTTTGAGATTTTATTTCAAGAAACGTAAGTAATTAAGTTTCGCAGATTGACATTAAAGTACTTATTCCATCCAGAATGTGTAGGAAATGAGGCAGATATCTCTAAAGACTTGAGGTGCAAAAGGTCTCCCTCTGGAAGGTGAGCTACAAATTAAGAGAAGGAACAAGTTCCGTTAGGGGGGGGGTGCCTACATTACAACATGGGTGCAGCAGGTCAAAGATGAGGCCGTCATCCTCAGTCTGATGGTCTTCAGTTATGTCGGATGGACTCCCAGATGGTTGGACACAGCTTCCGTTTCCTGACTGGGTATTATATCCTATTAGCTTTTAATGATTCCTGGAGAACTGAAAGTTTGGAACCAGATCCTATCATATGTATTCAGTCCCAACCCTACGCATGAACTAGGTCCTGAGATACCCAAAAGTCCTCCACTTGAAGCAGGAACTCTCCTCTGACCAGAAAGGAGACAGAAGTAGATGCACAAAAAAGCAGATATAAAAAAGGTAATGGTTTTGTAATGGATTGGGCCTTTCACTCCATCTCCCTACTTCTACATACCCATCCTACTCTCATTTGGCCATGGATCAGTTCCACAGGCAGTAAAACCGCCTGATGGCAAGATGTCGACTACACCATCAGTGCTTAGCGGTATAACATTCTTTGTCTTTAGAAGAGTTTGTGTTGTCTGTGTACATGGTAACCTAAAGTTGTGGATAGATTTCAATGGAATTTTTACCAGAGGGGTGCCTCATACTAATGATAAATTCATAAAAATTTCGTAATGATCCATATCAATATGTTTAAGTTATAAGTGTAAGCCCCAATTTGAGGCTAAATTTGCTGCATGGCGAAGATGTGCACTCAATGGGTGCTTTTCTGGTTGTCAATAATAATCGCAGAACTTCATTAAACCTTTGGCATGTAAATGTGGCCAGCAGAGTCGTACCTGAGGCTTGTTAATGCTTCAAAACTTGGGTAATTTGTCTGCAACTGTCTAGGCAAAATGATGACGATGACTGCTGGGTTTCCTTATATGGGGAAAACGCCTTTAACCAATCTGTCTGTATAATTTGATTAAATTGTCTTTGTAATGTACCTTGAGGTAATGTGCTGTGAATTTTTGGTATATATGCAAACTACAATTAAATGTTTTCTTTACACTGTTTCAGGGGAGTTCAAATGTAGAAATTTAAAATGACTTCTTCGAGAGATACTTTTGCTTGATACGTTTATATTTGGCTTAATCTGTAAAAGATCTTTCATCCTGGAGCTTCTCTGTTTTTCCTCTAACTCAGCTGAAGAACCTGTTTGTCTAGATCTGACGACTTGTCATGCTTTAATTGTCGGAGGTTCTACCTGGTTGGCTTCATCCAACAACCAAATCCTAAGAGGATATTCTACAACAGTGGAGCGGCAGGTCATATCTTTGATCACAAGAGGGCGCTCTTCACTCTGTAGTAATTTTCTCCCAGTTATAATTGAACTTTGCCATAACAAAGTACAATCAGCTGACTGCACAAAATCTGGAAAGCCTAAGAGATTTGATATCTTTGCCTTTTTTGCATCAAATGTGTTGAGCCATGGCTGAAAATATTAATGCATGAAAAAAATCTTATTCAAATCAAGAACTTTGTGTGAGAAGTATTGAGAGGCTTGAAGGTGTCCAGCGACCAACAGAACCAGCTTACTGAATGCTGGCTGAATTCATTACACAAAGGGTAGGGGGGACTTGTGAAAAATGTGCTTGTGGCCGATTAAAATTCTGCATTAAGTCAACGGGTGGACGGCAGAAGTTATTTGCTCTAAGCAATCTCCTTCTGGTTATTCAGGTGGAAAAGATTATTGTCCAAATGAAATTTATCTGTTTTTTTTCCTGTTTAGGAGCCAGAGTGATCTTGGCATGTCGAGATATGGAGAAGGCACAGGCAGCTGTAACTGAAATCATCGAAAGCTCTGGCAGTGACAGTGTTCTCTGCATGAAACTCGATTTATCAGACAGCAAATCTATCAGAGAGTTTGCTGAAGCTATCAATAAAGGTAAACCTACCTGATTATATTGGATAATGAGAAAGTAATGCCTTAACTGCTATTGGAGCTGAAGATGTGACATGTTTGTGATTCCTTTTTTTTATCCTGCAGATGAGCAAAAACTTAACCTCCTCATCAACAATGCAGGTGTGATGGTTTGTCCGTATGGGAAAACTGCAGATGGCTTCGAAATGCAGATTGGAGTCAATCACTTTGGTAAGTTGAACTAATCAGGGATCAATCCTTAGTTCTGTTCAGATCTGGTTTTAACAGGAGTCCCCACTAATTCAATCAAATGTTAACGGCCCAGTGGCAAGAATTCAAGTGAACATCATGATATAGGATCCAATTGAACCCAAATTTATGTTTTAATTTTTAAATGCCTCATCAAACTAAATAAGTCATAACATAATGTTTATGGCCTACTCCGGAAGTCTTCAACAGGGGGTCTGTGGCCCCTAGGGCGTCCATGGGGGTACTGCATTGGGGTTGCGAAAGTTTTGGTTGATTAGGTTTTTTTTAAACGTATTCCTCCTGCAATTTTTTCCACTAATTGAAATATCTTTAAATGCACATTAACATGAATTCAACACACTGTAGTAAACGGATAAATGGAGGCAGAAGATGTCTTTCAGTCATCAATGCAAACATTCAGCAACACACAGGAGCTCTTTCAAGCTGGGCACCGTTTCATTTACAACACCTGTCCCATCAACCAGGAATCTATGCAAATATGATAAGGGATATCGCAACTGCTCCACCTTTACAGGTACTTGCCCCTGCACCATCTGTGGGCCAGTGGCATTGCTCTCTCTCTCCTTCCCTCATGGCACCACTAGGTCTCTCTGACTGGAATAGGAGTTGATTTAAGCCCACAAAACCTGGGAGGGGCTCAACGGCAGATCCAGCATCCTGGACCCACCCCCACTGAATACCACCCAACTCTGTCTTCAGTTCTTCCTTCACTCAGTGCTTCAGTTCTGCCAGCGCACCTCGCGTTGCATCCAAAATCCAGCGAGATGCCTCCTCCGCCCACTACTACTATACTTTAATAATCCCAGGGAGAAATTACTTTCTTTACATGACTCCATATGTAATAGAGTGACTATAGGACCAGTTTGATATAACACAAATGTTCTTTTTCCTTCAGGACATTTCCTGCTGACATACTTGTTGCTTGATCTAATCAAAAGATCAGCCCCGGCCAGAATCATAAACGTGTCTTCGATGGCTCATTCCTGGGGCTCCATCAATCTGGAGGACATCAACAGTGAGAAGAGCTACAACAAGAACAAAGCTTACGCTCAGAGTAAACTTGCTAACGTGCTCTTCACCCGCTCACTGGCTAAAAGATTAGAAGGTACGGGTCACAACCTCCTCTTTTTCTTTGTTTTTTCTAGTTATCCTTATAGTAATGGTTTGCAGCTATATGGACAGTTGCGTACAGCTAATTGGTTTAGTTCAATATGACCACTAAATCAGTGGTTTGTAAAAGTGAGAATTAAAAGAACAAATTTCAGGTTGTGCTTTTTCTCCAATCCAGAGGGTCAGAATAAAAAAAAACAATTGGGTTAAATATTAGTTTGCACGTTCAAGTTCAGCTCTGATTTTTTTTATAGGCATTATTGGCTTTCTGTCTAGAAACAGCCCCACAGCATGATGCTGCCACCACCCGGTGTTGCTATGAAACTAAGAATTCTGTACAGTTTAATAACTGTAGGTGTACTATTTCAGTTCCCTCTATTTTTATTTTTAAGATGTCATTATGGGCTGACGTCCTGCTACATTTAGGTGCTCCCCTGCTTCAACAAACTGACCCAAACATTAGCTGGTTAGCAGAGCTTCACTGCATGCTGATGAGGAAGTTTAGTCATTTGGTTCCGGGTGTATAAAGCTACTCTTTGTTTTGTTTTTCAGAGATCAGCATATTGCTGCCTGTTTTAAGGATAAGGTTGCTTGGAGAGTCAGACCTAGTTCTAGAATGAACTGCAAAGAACATGCACACATTTTTTATTTCTGCCAAATAAGCACTTGAATATATTTAACATATAGAAATTATGGTTTCAAAATATTTGTAATAGTTCATCAAAGAATTTAATTCTTAGTCTGTGAACCCCCTTTTTACTCTGTAAAAATTCCTCAAATAAGCCGGATCCATGTTTGTTTTAAACACACTATAAGTTATACAAGTATAGAAAATGCACAATTTGTTGGGTAGTATGATTGCAATAGTAAATGATTAAATAATCCTGGAAATGAATTAAATATGTATAAACTCCATAATTCTACTGCTTTGCTGAAAATTGGAGCATCAGTCACTAAACTACTGCTTGACTGTACCCCTACTTTTTGCTTTATCATATTGACTGTTTTTTGTAGTATTTGTTCCTACACATAATGAGATAAAAAAAAAAAATCTGCATGTTTATGATATTATCCTATTTAATCTTAGCTGGTGTAAGGAGATATTGGTGGCATTTTAATTTATTCTTAATGTTTAATATTTGCTCATTGGGGGCTGTTAACATCCTACCTATGATGGATGCTTGTAAATCTCTGAAGTTTCGTTTTTACAAAGATACCTGTTCCCTTCTAGGTACCGGTGTGACCACGTACTCCCTCCATCCTGGGGTCGTTCGGACAGATTTGTGGCGCCACCTGAGCGCTCCTGAGCGGTTCTTCATAAATCTAGCCAAACCTTTCACCAAAGACTCGACCCAGGGAGCTCAGACTACCATTTACTGTGCAGTGGAGCCGTCTCTGGAGAAGGAGAGTGGTGGATATTACAGGTACAGTTTGTTCCTGTTAAGCTGCTCGTTTGTTCAAAGTTGGACAGTTACAGTAGTAGTTAATGACTTCTGGGTTGGTCTCTGTAGGGTCTTATCTCCCCAAGTGATCCTACTTTAATTAGAAAGCTTGGACATAGTAAGTTAGAGAAGCTTATTTTAACCTTTGGTTGTTTGCAGTGACTGTGCTCCTGCCAACACCTCCGCTGCTGGGAAAGACGAGCTGGCAGAGAAGCTGTGGGAGCTGAGCTGCAAGATGCTCTCCTTGACATGGGAATAAGGCCTTCCCTCTGTTGCTTTACTGATTGTTACTTCATTCCTTTAATAACGCACACTAACTAAAATCATGATCTTATTATTTAACTGCTCCCTGTTGCACAGCATTTTCCCTGCTGGGTTTGTATATGTGTTTAATATGTTAATATGAGGTTTTACTAACCCCTCCCCGCCCCCACTTTGATGAATGATTTTAATATTTGCAGCGATAAAGTTTATAAAGTAATTCAGTCTTTTTTTGTTGGTCTTCCATGTTTCAGGGTTAGACTACATCCAGGTTTATAAAAGGAGCATCCTTTTATCCATGAGTTTGGTTATTACAGGTTTATCCAGTCACTTTGTGAAAATTGATTTCCTGTCATTTTGAATGCTTTTCTAAATTAAAGATTTGAATTTGCAAATGAGTCCAAATTAGAAAGCTATGAGATATTCACCTTGTTTATACTTTATTAGCTTCTCTGCACGTTGAGCTACATTCACTTAACCTATTCAGATGGGCAGGAGAGTATTTTTTTCATTTATCAAAATTAAAAGCTGAAAACACTGAAATATTTATTTTTCAAAAATACAATGTGTTTTATGTGCTGGACCAACACAAGAAGCATATGAGAGACATTTCCTTATTGCCCCTGCAGTGGTTAAATTCACATCTCACACAAGACTAAGATGACCGACTTCCAATCCTTTTTCTAAGTTATTCATCAGAGCTCATGTCAATTTGCAGCATCAAGTCTTCTCCTGTGGTCCAAGCCCCAAATAACTTATATAATGTCAATAAAAATCTTTATAATTGCAACTTTTTTGTGTGAGTCTCTTCAGGTTGGAATGCAACAGTATTAAGGGGTTTTTCAAAAAAAGGCAGAAATCCTGCAATGCTGCACAATTTAAAATAATTTTGATGCTGAGGAATAAAGCTAAACAGTTAAAAGTTAAGTATACTTTAAAGCAAATGAAGAAAAGGTCTCCAAAAATTTTGGATCTAAAAATAGCTTACTTTTTCATACGGTTGATGGTGACTCCTGTAAATAGTGGGTTTCCAATTTGACTCCTCGCTCCACTCGCCTTGATTGTCTCAAGCTTGAGCAAGAAACATATCCAGTTTTGCCTGTTAGTGGTCAGCAAGCCCAGTGGCTCAGACTGAATCACTGCCTTGCTTCCATCAGTTTGCCCCAGCACAGCTATGGCACAATGTAGCTCATCAGGATGTGCTGTAAAGTTATTTGGAGTCCTTGGGCTTGATAAAGCCTCGTAAGTAGAGGCCATCAGCAAGACAAGTTTAAATTATTTTAATTTTGTATCTGGGAAAAAACCTAAAATCGGGGATAAATTTTACGAGAAAGCATGCGTACTTCTGGTAAAATCTTTAATTTCAACACCAGAACAGAGATGCAAAGTATAAACAAAATCCAACACTACAGAAGAATCCAAGGCCACCAAAGCACGGCTTAGAATACGTTGATCCAACAGGATCTGACCAGTTTACTATGAACGTATCAGACGGTGGCTGAGGATCATTTGAAGCCTTATGGGAAAACTTCATATCTTGATCTAATCGAGATGTTTGGTGACTTGAAATGACGAAAGTAAAAGAATTGCTTAAAGGAATAGTACACCCAAAACATGATTGGCCTTCATTTTCTACTCACCCCCATGCTGAACAACACTCTGGAGTACTTTTTTGATATCTCAAATGCATCTGGAGATCTGGGAGGCTTCTTGCTGTCTGCTGACATTCAAATAATGGAGGTCTATGGCGCCCGAGGTAGAAAGGTCCATAAAAGTCCACAAAAAACGTGTCAATATTCCTCCATACTGCTTGTCCAATGTATTCCAAGTGTCCTGAGTGGGTAGCATCCAGAATTTACTCGAAACAAAGTCATTTAGAATGTTTTTAGAGCATAAACAGTAGTGTATAGGATTTCCTGAAAGCGCGCACATCCGCGTTCACGACACTACGGAAGCCGGCAGACCAAACCAGCGCATTCAGCTCGGCAAAGAACTCATGCTCTTCCTCAACACTGAAGTCCTCAGACATTTTTCTTTCGTTGTTTCTTTCTTTGCATAGGTAAACAGCACATTTCTTCTTCTACGCTTGCATTATTGGCAGAGCAGACGCTGAATGCGCACTTTCATCTGGTTTGGTCTGCCGGCTTCCGTAGCGTCGTGAACGCGCATGTGCGCGCTTTCAGGAAATCCTATACACTACTGTTTATGCTCTAAAAACATTCTAAATGACTTCGTTTCGAGTAAATTCTGGATGCTACCCACTCAGGACACTTGGAATACATTGGACGAGCAGTATGGAGGAATATTGACACGTTTTTTGTGGACTTTTATGGACCTTTCTGTCTCGGGCACCATAGACCTCCATTATTTGAATGTCAGCAGACAGCAAGAAGCCTCCCAGATCTCCAGATGCATTTGAGATATCAAAAAAGTACTCCAGAGTGTTGTTCAGCATTGGGGTGAGTAGAAAATGAAGGCTAATCATGTTTTGGGTGTACTATTCCTTTAAGCATCTCATGGTGTGGCATGGGTTTGAAACGGTGTGCGAAATACCTGTCAATATTTGGGGGGGGTCCCCATCTCCCGATTGTTGCGCAATACCGATCTAAATTTTCTCACTATGTAGTAGGCCTATGACATTTCAAAGACAGTCACCTTTAATGTCAATTCTTCACTTTCACCAGACATACAAGGACTCGAGAGAACGTTTCTCATTCACCAACAGTGAAACCGATAAAGTGCACGGGCACAACAGATAAGATCAGTTCCTAATACTAAAATTTAAACATTCAATTTCACAAAATATAACATGTACAAAAATATAAAATATGCAAAACTTATGCTAGTGCAAAAGAACAGTAAATAAATCTAGTATTAATAAGGCTCGGGCACATGACGTCACACATTGCGCGGCAGCCATATTGATAGCTGGTCAGCCCACTGTTTACACTTTGACTTCGCGCCTGTAAGGACTAGCTTTCTTCTGCTAGTAGTTTGCTTAGTTTTTTGCCGTTTCATTTTACCTCTGCTGTCGTTATGGTCGCCCGTTGCTGTGTCGTAGGGTGTAGTAGCGCAAGCTGTGACTGGACGGGGAAAAAAAATCCCAAATGGATTGTCTTTTTACCATTTTCCAACCTGGAGGCGTCTCAATGGAAAACAAATGTCCTCCATAACAAAGAGTCGCCGGCTAGCATGGGTCGCTGCTGTAAGACGGCCAAATATAACTTTCAACTCAATCCCTGCGTCCATGAGAGTGTGTTCCAGGCATTTTCATTCTGGTAAGTTACAGAACATACTGTTTTTATTCATGTATCATTTCAAGTTAACCGTTGTTGGCTGATCTAACCCTGCGTGGTAGTACGATGCTAGGACAGTCATATATCATCAGAATGTAACTACATTATCCCTGGACACGTACAGTCAGCACAAGATTTATTTAGATACATTTTTGATGTTTTACGTTAGTGCCAGCACCTAGTCTTATCACCACAACAAACACCACACCATGTTGAGACGGTAGCTTACCTTGGCTCTGATGACTGTGTTCTCATTCGGCTTGATAACTTCCATGTCATTAACTTTTCCATCTGTCAGCTGTTTGTAAGCCTCTAGCGACTTGTAGCAGCGAAACTCTTCATGTGTGTAGGCACTGACGCCACACACTAGATACGAAAATATGTCCTCCCTCGCAAACGGCGGTAGAAATTCTTCCCCAACGCACCACTCCTTGCTTTCTACTTCGTAGGGATCAAGTCCGTTTATGAAGCCCATCTTTTGCAGATAACGGTCCCTGGCTTCCCTCTGCAGTGTGTCTCGGTATATTCCGCATCCTTTCTTCGCTTTTAACATCGCTGTTTACTCTGTTTCTGCTCTGTCTCTATGCTGTTTTAGGTCTTTGTTTACCGTAGCAACTAGCTACCAATATGGCGGCGTACCCAGAATGCAACGCGCTGTGCCCGAGCCTTATAGTAGTGCATGGGGGCTCAGCTTCCTGACAGCTTGGTGGATGAAGCTTTCTGTGAATCTGGTGGAGCGGCAAGAGCCTGAACAGACAGTCTATGAAAACACCCACATGCACAAAGAGTGTCTCTCTTTCTGTCTGTGTCTCTTTCATGCGTGCACATGTCCTGCTTTAATCCAGTTTCTGACGAATGGAAATGGGTCGAATTTGTCCAGAGGAGGTCCGTTAAGGTCCACAAACAGCAGTGAAGACCTTATGTCTTAACGCAATCTGTTCTGCGTTGCCCGTGTTATTAACTGCGGAAAAGCACATGGCTAATTTGCATATGCGAACAGGATTGGCTGGCTCCACTTCGCAAAAAATAGAGCAAATCATTTCCAATAACCACACTGTAAGCCTTTTCTTTGGATTTATTGGCTGGATGAATGAATGGTAAAACTGCAACAAAGAAATAATGTGCGTAAGTCTTTGTGTAAACAGGCACAATTCTCCTAAATAATAAACTCAACATATTCCCTGAATATTCACAGAAACACATGACATGTTAACATTAGCCGCTAGCTAGCGGCATCGCTAACGGCTAGTTAGCGCGTATGCTAGCGTCTTTTTAAAGTTATCTTCTCTGTGACCTTTCTTGCAATAAACCTCCAAACACAACATGAAACATAGTACTATGTGTACATAAACGAAATACACCCTTCACATCAAATTACATGCTGTACTGGCCACAAACGCAGCACAGAGAGAACAGATGTAGCTATGCAGTGTTTACTCATTAAACAGAAAGATGCCACTGCTCAACTTCCGGTGCTTTCAAAATAAGACTATATCAAATATTGTAAATAAGAAAGCTTATAGTATATAACTTAGAAACAATATGCAAATATGAGCAATGGCTTCCTAAGGAGCCAGAACATTTTATTTAAATTTTTTTTGACACAATTTAAGGGGGTCTCATGGGTTAATTGGGGGATTCGAGCTCCCCCGGCACCCCCCCGTATTTCGCACTCTGCAATTATGCCAATTCTGACTGATAATTTTTAATCTAGGGTTATCTGGGTGGTATCTGGCGGAAAATCTCGCGGCTTTTTCAAAT